AACTCAAGGCGGTACAGGAGGCTTGTACCTTCCAAGCTTGTCAGAGAGAAGGAAATGTTGACGTATGTTCTCCACTAGAGGGCCCTTTAGCTCTTCCACCACTTTAAAAACACGCTTGAAGTTGTCAAACTGCAATCAAAGAGAAACTTTTGTGTATTTAAATAGAACAAAGTTTGACACCATTTACTAAGAAACCTGGGAATTGTTTTTAGACATTTTAAAAGCCATGGAACTGTCTCATTGTTCAAACGAGTGACAGCAAACACCCTATCATTCCATTTCACCTGTCGTCTGCAGCTTTTCAGAGTCACGCCCGTCTTGGCACTGATGTCATCCAAGTCTTTCTTGGTTCCTTTTGAAAGTTTCTTGCCCAGGACTTCACGCACAAATGCATCATCAAAATCATAGTACCTTATGGCAGGAAACAAAAAGGAGAGAGTAAAGTTAGACTGAACCCACATCAAGGGAACAAGAATGAATGAAGTGATGCTAATTAAATAGGACAATGCGTGTCATCTTCAAAACAAAAAATTTATGAATGATGCTCAATAAATACACGCAGTGGAAATTAAACGCCCCAAACTTTCGTAATTCTCCCTAATTTTTGTTTTATGATGCAGTTACAGTCCTATGGCGTTTGTACATAATTTGGAACACAGCCAAGTCTATCACTAACCTATGCTAGTGCTAGTGCAGTAGTAAAGTCACAATGACTGCAAGTATTTGTGTGAAAAACACTCCCAGGCCAAAAATATAAAACAAGCACGTGACCACGTCACATGCGCAGGTATTCTAACACACAAAAGTAACGTGTTCAGACAGGAAAAGCACATCACCTCTCAATAAGCATGGCTTGGCGATGAGGCGGGATCTGGAAGAGCAGCTGATTGGCCAGTTTGGATGGACTGTGCAGCAGACGCTCGCACATCTGGAAAGTTCTATACTGGTCCATGGTATCACTCAACAGCACGTCCGCGTTTGCCTCGCACTCGTCCAGTGCTCCGCCCTCCATTCGAACTTTCACTGCATCGTTTACTGTTCCGGACAATAAATATGTTTCATTCAAACTTGTTTAACCAACAGATTCCCATTTAAAATTGACTTGTTAAAGTATAGATATAATTAGTTGGGTGGCTGGAATATGTCCAGTTAGTCTCCATGTGAATTTATAAATGTAAGTCTCTTGTTAGTAAAGGTAAAACATATATTTAAATAAATATCTCCTGAAATATGAATGGTGTGGCATTCATTACCTGTATATCCATCTAACCAGAGCTGATAAACCTCCTCGTCCATGATAGTGGTGTTACCCACGAACACATCCAGCTCCACAGCCATCTGCTTCAAGACCATATGTCAAGAAATAACAAGGTTAGTCATAAAAAAGCTGGGCTTTGTAAAATGAAAGTGCAGCAATCTGCATTAGACTTTATGGATGGATGGAAAGATAGATTAAAAAAAACTGCGAGTGAAGGTGAAAGTTATTATTTCCCATTGACCCTGAAGGAAACACCAGACTGAAAGACATACAGTAGATGCTTTCGATTTATCAAAGAAAAAAAAAAGAATTTACAAAATGTTTAGCCATCCAATAACACATTACCTTGTTTTAGTCTCCTCCCAAACGACGTCAGGCAATTAAATACAAAGACATCTTTTGGTGAATTCGCTTCACTAGGCCGACTAGTATGGGCTAGCTTCGAGTCGCTAAATCGCGAAACATACAGTGAACACACACTCACTCAGACCAAAACGAAATAGCTAAATGATAAAAAATGGAAGTGTACTGTGAGTTGACAAGCTATAGTCTTTCTCAAGGTTTCACATGGGGCGATTGTATGAGACTAATGTGACGTACAGAACTGTCAACAACAGCCGTCACATACACACAAACAGATACGCCTACTTCCGGGTTCCGTCACCGGAAGTGATTTTAACACTGCAAGTCGAAGAGATAGAAAACATAACCCGTCTGGTTTGGTCATGACGTAATGCACCGTACCGCCTTACAAATATAGCGTTTGTGTTCACTATTTCCTTACATAATACTCAAAGTGCTTTACATAATCATGTTTACTCCCGCGCTTTTTCTTTTTTTTATTATTATATCGAATATTAGCAATTATGTGACACATGTACTAACATTGTTTTCATAACTGTCAATAATTTGAATGTTAGAATTCTTCCAAATGAAATGGCTGTTTTAGTCCCCCACAAAACGTTTTTTTACAGTGCAAGGACATGCTTGATGCATTGTGTTTCGTGCTTTGCAGATTATTTTTTGTTTGTTTGTGCTGTTACAGAGTTTAATCAATCCAACGGACAACTTATGAATAAAATTGACTTCAAACATGAACTTTTTTTTGTCTGGGTTGTTAAAAGGGTTGATTTTCAGAAGATGAGCAATGAAGGGCAGCTGCTGAACTTTTATACGTTGAACCCCTTGCCGTAGAAAAAAGTCTGCTTGGAACCGGAATGGATGACTGACAGTGGCAGATTTGCCGATTAATTATTTCCCACTTTCTCAAAATAAACCAGACCACATCTGCTCTTACTTGATCTTCTGCGTGGGGGGGGGTCTGTAGACAGTCATACACAAACAAGCAGCCGTTCATTATAACGTGCAGGTTGCTTGCTGCTTGTGTCATCCAGTAGGGAACATCCCAGAGGAAGAAATGCTGCTTTCCCTGGTATTTCCTCTCATTTCATTGTTATTTTCATTGCATGGTCAAGAGTCAAAACCTGACACCAACAGAGAGAAGTCAATGGATGATTCTTTTTTGTTCAACATGAAAAGCAACATTTTAATAATTTCGCATGATTATTCATGATGTATTAAAAATAAGAGATCCACTGGGAAGCGAGTAGCAGGGGAAGAACATAATTTATGATTATTCCCTCAAGGAAGGCGCATAAAGAAAATTTCCAACATTTTTTGTTTTGAAATAACAACGTCTAGATTTAAATGGATTTATTTGATTATTCATGATGTTTTCCGAAGCGAGAGCTCCACTGGGAGTGACGGGGGTAGATCACAAATATTTATGATGATCTCCTTCGAAGCGTAGGAATTGATTGTTACACGTCTATTATAGAGCATTTCCGGTAGAATTTCAAAATAAAAGAATAGTAAGTGTTAAACTGAATCACAAATCAGTGATCACCTAACTACAACGGGAGAATGGCGTTCAACTATTAGAATGTGCGCATTTAGCATTATTCTTACAGTATTTGTTTGTGATATTGTGTATTGTGTATATATGTGTTATTTGTGATATCTCACTACGGCCCATGTACTAGTACTTGTCCTCACTATTAAGACAACTGCCTAAACTAGTAGAATGAGTGTGTCTTTTTTTTTTTCAAAAAAAGTTAGTCATTCATTTCATATCAATTTTAGTATGATCTTAATCCTAACTAGTACGACAGCTTTGGCATACTAGCAGAGAACTGCAAATAAATATACTCGTGAAGCAAAACTGCAGTAGTTGACCTTTGCACTACATGTTAACTAATAGAATTCATCATGTCAGTAGTAGTACTTTTGTAGTAGCAGGCAGTTTTGAACCAGTGCACAGTTCAGTTGATTAGAGTTTTCCCTCAGTTGAAAAATTAATTTGTTCTACGAGTATGCCAATGTTGTCCTGCTAGTCAGGACATCAAGTGTACCAGTACATGGACCTTAAGCTGACATCAAGGATATCGAATACATTCTCAAACAACTTCCTAAAAATGCTGTATGAGTATTTATCCTTTGTAAAGAGGCTACTGGTACAGGACACATGCTTACTAGATGGGTCTAATAGTGTTACTACTGTGCAGCAGAGTAGTTTACTAGTGGTTATATTGCATACTATTTGGCCACCAAAATTATTAACAAGGTGGTTTTATAATATTTTATTGATAATGTCACTAATAGTATTATTATTACACAGGTGTCAACCAGTTTCCCAACCAGTAACGTGGATGTCTTATAGTATGCAAAACGAAGCATTATTCGGAAGGAGAAGAGTGTACTGTAGTAATACACAGACCAACAAAAATATAGAATACATAAGCATAGTCCATACTGATAAGATCTCTTAGCCCCAAAGAATCACTAGCAGTGGGGGGAAAACCTTACTCGTAAGACAGTCGTTGTTCCTATGTGCACTTGTTTTGAAATATCAGCCTATCTGTTTCCGGTGACTCAGTGCGGCTTGACAGTATGTAGCCCCGAGCGGAGAATCCCAACCGTGAAAGTGTCTTGTGGCAGCGGACATTGTTGTGTTTAATGTCCAGCCCGACAATGGCCACAAATGGCGTTTCGCGGTGCAAATTCGGGCTCTTTTGTAAGCCTTCTACTTTTTTATAGCTCCCACGCATGAAAATGAAGCGTTTGTAAGAAGAAGCCGCTGCTTTCTCACCGAAGTGGAGAAACCGGAGAGAGAGTCCATTGAGCTCGGAGTCCAATCCGGATGGCGAGTGGCGATCACCGCGCTGCAAACACAACATCCAACATCTGTGTTGTGCATCGTTCCCTGATGGATTAAAAAAGGCGGCGGTGGATGGAGCGAGCCATTTTTCCAAGCTGCTGCCTTGAAAACACAATCATCCTCCTCACCTTCGGGGTTTTGAAATACGCACAGTGGCCGTTCCCTTGCTCGCGGAGGCCTGTTTTGCAGCTGCTTTGGTGCTTCTGATGATTTTGAACGACAGGTACACAATTGGGCACAAAATCTTGTCAAATGAAGAAGCCCTGCTGATGTGATGTTTGCATCCAGAAGTCACACTGGATGACGGTGGTCCGCTTGTGAACCAATTGCATCCTCTCAGCACTTTCAACATTTTCTCAGGTACAATTCAGTCAACACCCGTTTTGCATTTTTTTTGAGGGGGCGGGTGTGTGTGTGGGGGGGGGGGGTTAACCTTCGTTATTTGCTGAAAAATCATCCACTTATTACCTTTTCCTTTTCAGCACATAACGGAGGATATTTCCTCCCAAAAAAAAAAAAATAATCCCTGATTCTTAAATTAATCCAGGGGCGCCTTTCATCTCAAGCAAACAGAGTCAGTCTCTCACCAACAGCTCCAACTGTCCAGTGGTCGATAAGCTGCCCGGCACAGTAAGCAAAATCCTGGAACGTGAGATACTGCAGCTTTCTCTTCCCCGTCTCAAAGCGATTGTTGGCAAAGAACACAATGGCCGCGTAATCCCTGAAACGGGCCAAGAAATCGGTTAGTCCGCCGTTGTTTTTCTTGGCGCCAGTATCTTGGATAACGGGAGTTAGTTAAAAACATGACAGTGCTGTGAAACCAGGCAGAAAAAAAAAGAACATTGGCAACAGTTCAGTTCATAAACTCAAGGCGGTACAGGAGGCTTGTACCTTCCAAGCTTGTCAGAGAGAAGGAAATGTTGACGTATGTTCTCCACTAGAGGGCCCTTTAGCTCTTCCACCACTTTAAAAACACGCTTGAAGTTGTCAAACTGCAATCAAAGAGAAACTTTTGTGTATTTAAATAGAACAAAGTTTGACACCATTTACTAAGAAACCTGGGAATTGTTTTTAGACATTTTAAAAGCCATGGAACTGTCTCATTGTTCAAACGAGTGACAGCAAACACCCTATCATTCCATTTCACCTGTCGTCTGCAGCTTTTCAGAGTCACGCCCGTCTTGGCACTGATGTCATCCAAGTCTTTCTTGGTTCCTTTTGAAAGTTTCTTGCCCAGGACTTCACGCACAAATGCATCATCAAAATCATAGTACCTACTCATTGTTCAAACGAGTGACAGAAAACACCCGATCATTCCATTTCACCTGTCGTCTGCAGCTTTTCAGAGTCACGCCCGTCTTGGCACTGATGTCATCCAAGTCTTTCTTGGTTCCTTTTGAAAGTTTCTTGCCCAGGACTTCACGCACAAATGCATCATCAAAATCATAGTACCTTATGGCAGGAAACAAAAAGGAGAGAGTAAAGTTAGACTGAACCCACATCAAGGGAACAAGAATGAATGAAGTGATGCTAATTAAATAGGACAATGCGTGTCATCTTCAAAACAAAAAATTTATGAATGATGCTCAATAAATACACGCAGTGGAAATTAAACGCCCCAAACTTTCGTAATTCTCCCTAATTTTTGTTTTATGATGCAGTTACAGTCCTATGGCGTTTGTACATAATTTGGAACACAGCCAAGTCTATCACTAACCTATGCTAGTGCTAGTGCAGTAGTAAAGTCACAATGACTGCAAGTATTTGTGTGAAAAACACTCCCAGGCCAAAAATATAAAACAAGCACGTGACCACGTCACATGCGCAGGTATTCTAACACACAAAAGTAACGTGTTCAGACAGGAAAAGCACATCACCTCTCAATAAGCATGGCTTGGCGATGAGGCGGGATCTGGAAGAGCAGCTGATTGGCCAGTTTGGATGGACTGTGCAGCAGACGCTCGCACATCTGGAAAGTTCTATACTGGTCCATGGTATCACTCAACAGCACGTCCGCGTTTGCCTCGCACTCGTCCAGTGCTCCGCCCTCCATTCGAACTTTCACTGCATCGTTTACTGTTCCGGACAATAAATATGTTTCATTCAAACTTGTTTAACCAACAGATTCCCATTTAAAATTGACTTGTTAAAGTATAGATATAATTAGTTGGGTGGCTGGAATATGTCCAGTTAGTCTCCATGTGAATTTATAAATGTAAGTCTCTTGTTAGTAAAGGTAAAACATATATTTAAATAAATATCTCCTGAAATATGAATGGTGTGGCATTCATTACCTGTATATCCATCTAACCAGAGCTGATAAACCTCCTCGTCCATGATAGTGGTGTTACCCACGAACACATCCAGCTCCACAGCCATCTGCTTCAAGACCATATGTCAAGAAATAACAAGGTTAGTCATAAAAAAGCTGGGCTTTGTAAAATGAAAGTGCAGCAATCTGCATTAGACTTTATGGATGGATGGAAAGATAGATTAAAAAAAACTGCGAGTGAAGGTGAAAGTTATTATTTCCCATTGACCCTGAAGGAAACACCAGACTGAAAGACATACAGTAGATGCTTTCGATTTATCAAAGAAAAAAAAAAGAATTTACAAAATGTTTAGCCATCCAATAACACATTACCTTGTTTTAGTCTCCTCCCAAACGACGTCAGGCAATTAAATACAAAGACATCTTTTGGTGAATTCGCTTCACTAGGCCGACTAGTATGGGCTAGCTTCGAGTCGCTAAATCGCGAAACATACAGTGAACACACACTCACTCAGACCAAAACGAAATAGCTAAATGATAAAAAATGGAAGTGTACTGTGAGTTGACAAGCTATAGTCTTTCTCAAGGTTTCACATGGGGCGATTGTATGAGACTAATGTGACGTACAGAACTGTCAACAACAGCCGTCACATACACACAAACAGATACGCCTACTTCCGGGTTCCGTCACCGGAAGTGATTTTAACACTGCAAGTCGAAGAGATAGAAAACATAACCCGTCTGGTTTGGTCATGACGTAATGCACCGTACCGCCTTACAAATATAGCGTTTGTGTTCACTATTTCCTTACATAATACTCAAAGTGCTTTACATAATCATGTTTACTCCCGCGCTTTTTCTTTTTTTTATTATTATATCGAATATTAGCAATTATGTGACACATGTACTAACATTGTTTTCATAACTGTCAATAATTTGAATGTTAGAATTCTTCCAAATGAAATGGCTGTTTTAGTCCCCCACAAAACGTTTTTTTACAGTGCAAGGACATGCTTGATGCATTGTGTTTCGTGCTTTGCAGATTATTTTTTGTTTGTTTGTGCTGTTACAGAGTTTAATCAATCCAACGGACAACTTATGAATAAAATTGACTTCAAACATGAACTTTTTTTTGTCTGGGTTGTTAAAAGGGTTGATTTTCAGAAGATGAGCAATGAAGGGCAGCTGCTGAACTTTTATACGTTGAACCCCTTGCCGTAGAAAAAAGTCTGCTTGGAACCGGAATGGATGACTGACAGTGGCAGATTTGCCGATTAATTATTTCCCACTTTCTCAAAATAAACCAGACCACATCTGCTCTTACTTGATCTTCTGCGTGAAATACACAATCTGCTCCCCCGCTGGCGATTAATCCAAATAAATCCCCATAAATCCCTGGTTACACCCTCCCTTTTTCGGTCCTGCTGCATGTGTCCTATACACGGGGATGTGAGGCGGCGAGGGGGTGGTGGGGAGACGAATCCCCGGTTGTCAAATCCCTCGCTGCACATTTATTTTTTGTGAGTTGTAAACTCACATGACACTCTGATGCCGTCACCATTGGGTTAACACCCTGCATTGTCCTGCTCTCCATGCAACAAAGGAGGTGGGACACAGGGCGGAAGGATGTGTGAGTGAATGCCTCAGCACAAAGGTATTGGAGGGGTGGGTAAGG